CCTGTCCCAAACTCTCGTGCAGTTTATAACCCCTGAAAGCCCACTGGAGGGGCAGTTATGAGTTGGTCCCAGCTCGATGGAACACACAGCAGCAGCAACAAATTATCAAGGCCGTCCAGCTCTCCTGAGTGTCCACTCCCAAAATCAATGCCAGCTCTCCCTTCTCCCTTTCAGAAGGAACAGGATGGCTTTTATTTCTAGAAAGCAGTTATTATTGTTAATAGCAATTTCTTTTCCTCTCTTAAATATGTATAAGCCTTGATAATTTTTGTGAAAAGTCACTTCTGGAATGTAAGCTTGTATATGAATCCACATCTATATCTATTTTATACAAAATTATATTTTATATCCTGCTTGAAGGCACCCTCATCCCAATTCTAATGATTGTTCCTCGCTGAAGTAATCAAACCAAATGATTGAATGCAGAACTTTACTTTTTACTCTATACACTAATCAGTTTTTCCCCCTTCAAGTAGCACTAATCGTTACACTGAATGCATTAAATGTTTTAATTATACAATACTGAACCCAATTTCTCCCAAATCTTGATCCCCTAACTTTCTATGATTAGCATGCATAAATAGCCTTCATAATAAAAATACCCTTGTACGGATTACATCTGAGAAGAGAGCAGCAGCCCAGCTAGACTGAAGTGATGGGGTGTCAGCTAAAAAAACAAGTTAGACTCACGTATCTTGAGCTTCCTCTCAGTCTCTCACTTTCCTTCCTTTTAGCTCTAAACCTCTCAATCCATCAATCAGAGGTTCCTTTCTATCCATTGTCTCATTTCTGAAGCTTCCTTTTTTCCAACAGTCATTTCTCATTTGGTGTCTCTCGTCCCTGGTCTGTGTGTACCAGATGTGGCTGATCAGAGAGAGCCCATCAATGGCAGAAATGTAGACCGTTTGGTGTGCTTTATTTTCCAGACTAGGCATCAGTGGTGCAAATGGTTAGCACACTCAGCTAACCCAAAGGTTAATGGTTTAAGTTTACGCAGAAGTTCCTCAGAAGAAAGGCCTGGTAATCAGTTGTTGAAAAGTCAGCCATTGAAAGCCCCATGAGGCACAGTGCTGCTCCAGCACACATGAGGTCAGCAAGAGGCAGAGCTGACTCTTTGGAAACGGATTTTTATTATTTTGCTGTTGAGTTTTAGTTGTGGTTGATTTTTAAAAAATTTTATTTTATATTGGTTTGCATACAAAATTCATATACATTGTGTTTCACACTTTCCTTCATTGTCTTTATGTTTCATACAATCATTCCCATACACTGTGTTCATAAAATTAATCACCATTGAACGATGCCCATCTTCACTCCACCTTTTCAGGTCCCCGCCGGACCTTTTCCATTTTTCTTTACCCCTTCTCTCCACCCACCCAATTGTGCAACCCTATGATTTCCCCTCTGCCCCCACCCTTTCCCCCCTCGTGGACAGGTCAGCAAGAAAGAAATGTTGGAGAGGATGTGGAGAGATCGATCGGAACTCTTACACACTGTTGGTGGAATTGTAAAATTGTACAACCACTCCGGAAGGCAGTTTGGCATTTCCTCAAAAGGCTGAACATAGAAATTCCGTATGAGCTTGGCTATTCCACAACTTGGAATATACCCCGAGAGAATGAGAACTGAAGCACAAATGGCCACTTGTACACCAATGTTCATAGCAGCATTATTCACCATCGTAAGAACATGGGAACAGCCCACATGCTCAACCATAATAGAATGGATTGAGAAATTGCGGTACATTCACACAATGGAATACTATGCAGCACACAGGAGCAATGGTTTTGTAAATTACTACCTAACATGGGAGGGACTAGAGAGCATTATGCTGAGTGAACTCACTCAGTCTCATAAAGATAAATATTGTATAAGATCACTGTTATAGAATGAATATGAGGATCCAAGGAGGGAAACGGAGGGGCTTAATCTTAGGGTCATATAATTTGATGGAAGGAGGGTGGGGTGGATAAAGGAAAGGGGAAAGATCCGGTGTGCAAAATAATGTATACGAATTTATGAACTTTGTAAGTAAACCAGTATAATATTAAAAAAAAAAATAGTGGTGATGTAGTCTCTCTCCACCCTCACGCAGGACCTCCTGGGAGACAGTGTATATTTTATAATGTGGTCAGCTATGTCCATAGACCTGCTTATGCGCAAGTTCATTCATTTGCCTTCCGTTGTCTCGTATGTCCTAGGACCTGGGGACACAGCACTGAGCATAGCAAAGTCTTCCTGCCATTTACTCTCTGAAAGTGACGGGCCAGCACACTGTAGTGCTGAGTCTTCTGTAACCCGCCCACAGCCGTCAGGTAGAATCTGACTCATGTAGTCAGCTCTCCATCTGGCTTCTGAGGCTGTAAATCTTTACAGGACAAGGCTGCCTCTTTCCTCCGCGGAGTGATTGGTGGATTCAAACCACTGACCTTTGACTTGTCTCAGTCTAGACCCAAGCACAGCACCCCACACTCATTGTATGAATGATGTCACCCCAAACATGGTGAGTGTGCTTCACCTTTTAACACTTTTTGGTTTCATGGTGCCCATTCTATGACAGAAAACTTTGACTAACACAGCAAGAGGGAGAAATTAAGTTAATGCAGTTCCAAGTGACTCTTTGCTGTGAAAACCAGGCCTCCGGCATCCTAGTAAGTGAATCAACAGTCACACCAAAATACACACACACATACACACACATATTCTCAGAAGCAGTCTTTTTGAGGTTATCCACTTCACCCTATGAGATTTATAGTCTGCCACACCAGCTCAGAGCAGAAGGGGATAAGACCACATTTCTAATCCAGTTCCTTGGGGGAAAGAGGCCACATTTGGAATCTTTAATTATCTCATTTCATAAGCGAGATGACTTATAGCCCGTAGTCGGTAACCTGTGAGGCCGATGACTTCTAATCCCCTCTCGGAGCTCTGATCATGGGCTTTGGGGTCCTGGGTAGCATGAGGTTGTCACGTCTGTGTTACCAAAAGTAGCAAGAGTGATGGCCCCGGCCTTCGGCAGTCACTTTAGCAGAACATACTGCAACATGGCTTTGCCCTGGGGCTGAGAAGTAGGGATTTTCTCTCCTTCAAAAGGAATGAAAAATGATCATCACTTTCTCCAGCACCATTAGAGACTTCAGAGACTTGGGCATGAAATATTCAGAAAGTTTATTTTAGAATTCAATATTTTAAAAGCCTGCTTTAAAACTATTACTGTGATTAGTGGTTCTCTTCCCCGGGCTGGTCTGTGCTTTAAAAAGCTCCATGTCACGGCTGATACCATTTGTTGTTTCAACGGGATATAATTGGTCTCAACCACAGAAACTACAGATAAAGGCACGTGATGCATCATTTTAGTCACTGCCCTGGCCCATCAGTTGGTGTTTCAAAAGCATTTCCACCACTCCCCACCCCCGTGGACATTACTGTTCTTGAAAACCATTTGAAAGTCCTGTTGCTGGCCTCACTGTGTCGCTCTGATGTGGGCTGTCTTAGCCACGTGGCAGGGATGCCCACTTTACCCCCATCCCTTTGCTCCAGTCTCAGTGGTCGCACACGAACCCTCAGCGCTCCATCTTCATCACTTCTCTGGTGCGTCAGACGAGCTTCTCCGGCTTTGGTGAGGACTCCAGGAAGCTTCCAAGCCTGGGAAGGAAGCCCGGGAAACTTGAAGAGCAAGAGTTGGCCGTGTTGGATAGCGATTTAGGCCCCTCTCTCTGGAAGACCCCATTTGTACAGGGAGGTGGCAATGTGGAGTGCAGGATGGAGAGCTGATTTTGGAATTCCATGGTCCTGATTTGCATTTCGGCTCTGGTAGCCTAGTGGGCAAGGATGCGGACCCAAAGGCACGTGGTTCAAATCAGCTGCCTTACAGAAGGAAGGTGGGCAAGCCCCTCCTGTGTGATTTGCTGCCTCTGACACCCACTGGAGGGTCAACTCTGATTGGTGTGGACTCGACAGTATGTTACAATGTGTATCTTACTCGCAGGAAGCTGCTGCCCTTCTTTAAGACTCAGTGTCGTTTTCAATCTAATGAGCCTAAAAGTTCAATGATTTCAGGAATGTCAGTGTGTCACTCAGGGTGTTAAAAGATTCTAGATGATGCAGATGTTAATGTACTTGGCTACTAAAAAGGGTATAGAGGTTCTTGTCTACCTAGAGGTGCCTTAAGACAAAGGCCTGGTGTAAACTTTGAAAATATCGTCTGGCAAAAACCCTGTGGAGCACAGTTCTGCTGTGACGCACATGGGGGGCGGGGGGTGTGTCCCCATGAGCCAGAGTGGGCCTGGGGCAGCAGGCACTGGTCCCACATTGCACGTGAAGCATCGCCACATCATTATTCATTTCTTATCATGTGTTTGTCTCACATATCTATTATGCTTATCTGTTCTTGATCAGGAAGTTTGTTAGGTTCCATAGTGCTGATTCCAACTCACAGAGTCCTGACTTATGAACAACAGATCGCAACAGGCCTGCCCCATCCGCCATGTTCAAGGTCTTTTTTATAGTCACATATGTGTGGATGTATAAATACAGATATATGTTTACAGGATGTCTGAAAAAATCATTTTTCCCCATAACCTGTACATTTAGCCTAATTCTTTTAAAGAGACTGAAAATATTTTTCTCTTTTGCTCCACATCAGATGTTACATGTATGTATGAGCTGGGGTAGCTGGAGTGGAGGCATCCCTCTGCCTTTAATAGCTTACCCTCTGAAATAGCATAAAGGAGCCTTTGTGGCACAGTATAGAACAGAAAGGGCTGCTAACTAAAAGGTCACTGGTTCAAATCCAGCTGCTCCTCGGAAGAAAGATAGCCCCCTCCTCCCATAAACATGTGCAGCCGTGGAAGCCCAGTGCGGGATTGCTCTGAGTCGGAACCAAGTGGGTGCAGAGGGTTTGGTCCTACAGACCCTCAGAGAAGAGATCCTCACGGGATGCTGATGCTTGGATGCCAGTGATGGTGCATAGAAGTCATTTTTTCTCTTTTTTCTTCCAGAGAAGTCGATCAAGATTCTGATGGTCATGTCAGTTTTAAAGACTTTGAATACGCCATGAACTATGGGCAAAGCGAAACCTAATGCTCACAAATTACCTGGGGCAAATTCTGGGGAGATCAATAAATTGTGATGAATTTAAATGTCAACTGGGCTCTTCCTTTCTGATGATGTAATGCGGCATCGTTGTGATTGGACGCCTGCTCGTGGTCGTCTGTTGCTGAGACAATGGATAGTAATTACCAACTGCAGGTGGGCAGCCCAGGTGGTGTCCTGAGCCAGGCTGCTGTCACCAGCCCACCATGGGGGCACTTCCCCTGCCTGCTGCTTTGCTAAGAGCAAGGCAATGGGAATGATGTGAAGATTTAACCCTGCTCTGAAGTCCTGGGGTGGGGCAGTTGCACACAATGGATGTGTCAAAAAACTGCAAGTTCCAGTCCACCCAGAGCTACCTCAGAAGAATGGCCTGGTGATCTGGTCAAACAAACAAAACCCCATAAAAACAAAAGCCAGAAACCAGGCTGGAAAACCCTCTGCAGAACTTGTTATATTGGAGTCCCCACTGAGTCAGTCTCCTCAGTAGTAACTGGTTTTAATATGACTCTAAAATCATGTTACCGGAGTGGAAATCCTTATTGCAGAGCGGCCCATGGGCCCTGACTGAGACAAACCAACCTGACTTGGCTAACACAAGTAATCCAGCCCTCTCTGGCTTTATAGATTATTACAGAGGAACAGAGATGACAAAAAGAGTATTGGTGGCAATGATGTATTCTTAAAGCCCTTTGGGATGGCATGAGTCTGGGGTTCTACAGACAAGAACCTGGGCCTCAGGGGACAAGGTTGGGTGCTAGGGGTTGGTGGAGGCTGGACAAAGACTCATCTGCATCCTGGTCGGTCCACACAGCGGGTGCCACTCCAAACTCTTGCCCGCTGTACCTGCCTCTGTTGGTAGTCTGAGGCACAGTTCGTCATCTCAAAGTCCTCCTGCTTTAGGGACAGGCACTGGGGCCTCAAAGAGGACCCGAGGGCCCGGGACAGGAGCCTCTGTAGCCTCCACTTTCTAGATGCTACTCAGTTGGTACCTTTTGTGATGGAGAAGGAACACAGTGCTGTCAGGGCCTCTCTCTCCTCCACTCCTGGACCCATCAGGACAGCTGCATGTTTCCACCCAGGGATATCTTTAACTTTGGGACCAGCTGGGTGGTTGATGGAGAAGCGTATTCCTGGACTCCCTGAGATCTAATTCAAGTGATTGGTCCATGGATGTTTGTTGTTATGTGCTGTTGAGTTGCTTGCAACTCATAGCGACCCTATGTACAACAGTCCTAAACCCTTGCTCTAACCTGTGCCAATCTTACTGTCTCCAACACACCCATCCTGATTACCCCAGTCACTGACTCAATCCACCTCATAGAGGGTCTTCCCCTCCTGCGCCATCCCTCCACCCTCCCAAGCATGATGTCCCTCTCCAAGGACCAGTCCCTCCTTACAACATGTCCAAAGTATGTCAGACAAAGCCTCAGAATCCTTGCCTCCAAGGAGCAGCCCAGTTTAACCCTCCCCAGAATGAATCTGTTTGTTTTCTTAGCAGTCCATGGTACACTCAATACTCTTCTCCAGCACCACAGCTCAAAGGCATCAATTATCCTTCTATCCTCCCTAGTCATTGTCCAACTCTCGGATGCATAACAAGTATTTTGCAAAGACCATGGCCTGTATCAGACATACCTTAGTCTCCAGAGTGACGCCATTGCTCTTCAGTACTTTGGAGAGGTCCCTATATTGAGAAACGTGAACTTTTTCTGCTGGACACTCAGCTCCGTAAGTTCACCCTTACTTAGAGGAATCCACCTCCCACTGCCTCAATACCTTCCAGTTCTAGCCACCACTGGGGACCTCTGCTCCTGGAATTCATCCAGCCTACTAGGTGCTCTGCCCTAAGAATTATGACCTCCTTCTAACCGCAGGGTGAACTGAGAGGGCCATTCCTGCCCTCTGCCCTCTGCTGCCCCTTCCCTGGTGTTGGCAGCACTACCCCGCGGTCAGCTCCTCCGTGCTTGGCACATCCAATCCTGAGTCCTGGTGACCACTCTGCGGGCGCACACGGGGCTTTCAGGATCGACTTCACATAATTCCAAAATCCTGATGCTAATACTAGCATTTATATATGTTCAGAATATAGAACCTGAGTAAAATGATGCTTAATATAATTCAGAATTATTAAGTCTAAGCATTATAAAATGTAAATTTTACAAATAGGAGCATTAAACCAGTCTCCCTCTTATGCATAATTTTTAGCAGATAAATTTAATAAAAATGAAGCCTTAAACTGTTAGAGCCAGAGGATCCCAAGGAGACATGACTACTAAGTATAATAATGTGTGCTGGCTGGGATCCGAGACAGACAAAACATCAGGGGCACAAGGATAGACGTTAGTTGATTTCAGTGTATCAGGAGGAAGAGCAGGCTGGGTTCTGCTTTGGGTGTGTTATCAGAAGGGGCCAGTTCCTATGGAAAGACGTGGTGCTTGGAAAAGTAGAGGGGTCAGCAAAGAGAGGAAGACTTAACAAGACCAACTGGCCACTGACTACAATGGGCTTGAGCACAGTGGAGTTTGTAAGGCGGTGCAGGATAGGGCAGGTTAGACCTGCCGTTCATAGGGCTGCTCTTAGTCGGAGCTGACTCCGTGGCACCTCACAAGAACATTGGCTCATGGTTTGTGGTGGATATACTGTTCTCATGGGAAATGATAATGGGGGGGGGAGTATAGACTTAAAATGGGATATGGAAATTCACTGAAATGGTATATGGAAATTTACTGAATTCCTTATAAAGAAATGAGTCATTTCTCTGTGAATTAAAATGTTCTAAAATGAAATTTATCTTGAAAGAATTCTATTTGTAAATCAACACACTAAATATTACCTAAAATGAGGAAAACTTTGAAAAACACTGAAAAGACAAGTAAAATCATACTTCCAAAAGAAAGCGATTAAAAGGAACCGTTTAACAGCACGTGTGTTTTGGTACAAACTTGATCCCACGGACGGAAAACTATTCTGACTTTGAGTAGAGGTTCCCCCACCCCCAGCAAATACTTTCATCAATTTAATAATTGAGTCATTGATCCTGATCTGAAGACACAAATGATACAGATGTTAGATTATTAAAATGTGAAAATTAAACACACCAAGAGAGTGTCAGTATTTCAGTAATTACTGGAATACCAAAATCTCGTATTGTGATCACTGTTTGGTCTTCCTCTCTCCCTGGAGACATGACAAGAGTTCCGGAGAAGACTGCAGTTGACATGGAAGGCGGGAGGCAGATCTCTCCGTCGTGGGGTGGGGAAGGCGTCATATGGTCTCTGTGGCAGAAGCATATACCAGCCTAAACCGGAAGAGACTTGGGAGAGGCTGTGCTCGCTCATGGTGGCTCACAGAGGGAGGACAGAGGTCCATCTGGATCTCCAGGATTACTAGATTACTAGAACTAGCAACATGAGAGATAGAGAGAGAGAGAGAGGGAGAGGGAGAGGGAGAGGGGAGAGGTGAGAGAGGAGAGAGAGAGAGAGAGAATGAATGAATGAATGAATGAATCAATCAATCAATATATCCCAGCATTCACCCTCAGGTGGATCCAGGATCCCAGGCAAAGATCCAAAAGAAAGAGAACCTCAAAAGCTTCTCAGTCACATCTTATCACATCGCGTAGGCCCAGTCCAAATTCCATCCCATTCCCACTCACCCAAGGGAGCTCTGGTAGCCTCATGAGTAGAGAGTTGTACTGTCAACCCAAAGGCAGATGGTTTGAATCCACCAGCTGCTCTAACGAAGAAAGATGGGGATTCCCCTCCTGGGTGATTTTTAGCCTCTGAAAATCCTTTAGACAGTCAGTTCTCACTTGACATCAATGAGTGGAGTCAATCGCTGACCCCAATCTGCATGATGTTCATGGAACGTGGCCTCGTTTCTCTTGTTCCTAACTGAGGGTGAATGGCTCTAAGGTAGTGGATTCCTATACAAGTGGTCTAACTTGGTGTCTTCCTTCAACACATAAAGCATGAGAGCAGGTGAAATACAGCAGTGTTCTTCCAAGTGGCTGGGTGAGTGTGACTGACTCAGGTCTGGTGGCGGCATGTTTCCGACCGTGGCCTGAGGCAGCTGGTTTGTGATGGGTGAAGACAGACACAGAGGGGAGTACAGAAGAAGACAGAAGCTCTAATGGCGCTGGGTTTCTGCCTAAACCTTGTTTGTGTACAGGGTTCACTCACAGCCCTTCAGGTCCTGTGAGGCAACCCCGTATCCTTCCAATAAATCTTTCTGCTTCAGCCAGCTGGAGTTGTTTTCTGTTATTCAAAACCAAAAGATCCCTATCAGTTACAAACAGCTAAGGACAGAATTCTTGGTAATGCCAGAGGGGACTTAGAAGAGGCAGCTGAAGGTAGAGGTGGAAGATGTAGCCAATTTTGTTTCTGTTAAGCCTACTACTGCTTGTCCTGCCATAATCCAGCTCCAGGGCTCTCCTGTAGCAAGTTCTCAAAGCTGAGCAGGGTTTGCTAGTGGCCAGGCTCAACAGCCTCTCTCAGACCTCTTCTGTGTTTGTACTGTTTGCCACACTTTTCTTTAAAAAATAAAGTGTTAATTGTGATTTTGACGAATGTTTACAGAGAAGTTAGGTTTTCATTCAAATATTGTTGTACATTTTACACCCTCTCCCTCTCTTCCCCCTCCCCCCAATTAACTTTTCTTTTTTAACATTCATTCGTTGTTGTACAATTACCTACCTCCCCCCACACACATCCAGTCCTCTTTGTAATGATGTATCTCTTATACTGGGCTGTTGTCATACGTATCATACCTAATCCTATATTCCTTTTAGACCCGTTCTTTCCTTCATCTGTTCCAATGCAATGTTCATTGTGTAGCTACTCTTATCCTGTTCTCCCTCACTTTTAAAGTCCTTGCTTTCAACTCATTTTCATTTTCTAAGGTTGCCATAACAGAAGACCACAGAATGGGTGGCTTCAGAGAACACAAAGTTATCGTCTCAGTTTTGGAGGCTAGGAGTCCAAATCTGT